GCCACGGGGTGAACGGTGGAGAGGCGCAGCTCAGAGGCGCCGGCTCTCGCGTCGCGGAGACGCCGGAGATACGACGCTGCGCCAGCGATTGAGCGCGCCCTACGTAGCGCGCGCCCCGCCTGGCGGGCCTCGTACAATCATGCACTTAGGTGAGAAATGGATGAGACACACCACATGGATGTTGACAGGATCGGATCCGATTGCTCCTCTGTGCCTTAGGGCCATATTACAGGCACTGACTTATTCTGGCGCCGGCCGCCCCCCCCCCTGTGCGCATGCCTGTGCGGGAGCAGCCTCTTCAGCAGCTGCGGGCGACCTGTACGTTCCACTCTCTCGGGTCGCAGCTGCCTCTGCGCGTCCTGTGGATGTACCTTTGTCGCGCGCCGGAGATGACTCGACGCCGCTGAGATCGGAGATTCAAGCTCTGACAGGTCGCACGTCGCTCCTTTGACGCCGACGTGACTCACCCGTGCAGATCACATCAGGACACGGTCTCGACGCGCTCGGTACGACGCCTGCGACCCGTCTTGGGTCAAGTGGCACGACGCTCATCGCGCCTACCAGCGCTGCCGTACAGGTTGCCACGACGAGGTCGAGCACGCTTCTATACGCTCGCCCAGCCTCCCTTTCCATCCCATTAGGCAGCATGGGAACGGTGGCGAGCAGACGCAAAGCCTACGAGGGGTGGTGGAACCACATGTCGCGGCTACTGCCGGCTCGACCCCACGATAGCCTCCGGAGGCTGACTTTGCGGCACCATCATCGGACGATGTCGACGAGTTGGGTCGCGCTCGCGGTAGCCAGGTAGCCCCCCATACTAGTAGCACCGGCCATGGCCGCAGGAAGCTCGGGGGAGGGCGCTGGGAGCAACACGGAGCTCCGTTGGACGCGTTTTCAAGATTAGCGTGTCAGAGAGTGAATTGGAACTAGCCAGCACATCACTGGGCACGGGACTGGACAAATAAAACATCGCGCGTGCGCTTCTCATCCGCTCATCAAGTGTATTATCAGTACAGCCAGTCCGTCATGTCGGCCCCCCTCTCGACCTGGCGCGGCATCCACGCCTCCTGCCACGGCAGCCTCCACGGCCGCCAATCCCACCAGCAGCTCTCCTCGGCGCAGCGCTCGAAAGGGAGCCACAGGTACGAGGCGTTCCCCACGCCGCCCGGCCCGTTAGCGTTCCAGTTGTCGCCCATGTAGACGGGCACGAGCTCGCCCGAGGTTGCGTTGCGCAGCGGCAGGACGAAGGTTGGCTGCGAGTTGTACGAGAGGCGCGAGTAGAGCCCGTCGCCGATGTCGCCGAGGAACTCCCACTCGCCGCCCGCAAGCCCGCCCGCCTTGCGGTGTAGCTGCATCGCGTTGGGGTAGTACCAGGTCGCGTACGAGCAGACGAGGTAGTGGAGCCCGTCGCCGGGCAGGTCCTTGAAGAGGGCGATCCCCTCGCACGGGCCCTTCAGCCGCGAGGACACCTCCTCCTCCACGCCGGTGTAGTCGGCCGTCAGCCGCGAGACCATCGTCCACGCGTGCCCGTCGGTGTCGCGCAGCAAGTACGCGTCCTCGGTGCCGGGCTCGCGCCAGATCTGCAGGTCGAAGGACTCGTGCCCGTTCGGGTGCAGCGCGTGCTTCCACTCGAACGGACCTACCGGCGAGGGCGAGGTGGCGACGCCCGCGTACCGGTACGTGTACGAGAACGAGTCGAGGTGCATCCACAGCACGAAGGTGGAGGTCGCGGCGTTGTAGACCACCTTTGGCCGCTCGATCACGTACGGCCCCGGCTGGTCCGCGCCGAGCGCCACCGACGAGTTTCGGAACACCATCCCCGCAAACTCCCACGCGAGCATGTCGCTCGAGCGGTAGCAGTTGACGCCCTCGTTGGTCCACCCCTCGTTGACGCCCACCGGGTAGCCCATCGCAGAGAGCCCCTTGCGCGACTCGCCGTACCAGTAGAAGGCGCCCTCATGCCGAATGATCTGCCCGCCGTGCGCGTCGATCTTGTTGCCGTCGGTGTCGTAGAGTGGCGGGTGCGGCACCGACACCATCGGCAGGTACTTTGTGTAGAAGAGGTAGAGCGCCGAGGCGAGCATCGCGAGCACGGGGCCGACCATCGCGCAGCAGAGCCAGCAGCAGCGATGGTGGCTCGACTGGCACGCGCGGCTGAGCCAGGGCGCCGCGCCCTTCCGACTGAACGAGTGCGCCTCGCGGATGGCCCGGCCCCGTTTGAAGTCGGGCGTGTCGTAGCACGGAAAGACGCAGAGCCACACCCAGCGGAGCAGCGCACCGAGGCTCACTGCAGCGGCGGGGTGTTGCGTGTCCATGTACACTTGCTTGTGGCGGCGCCGGTCGGTTGGCGGCCGAGCATGCATTTTTCTTTTTTACTCGATTTTTTTGGCCCGAAATATTCCGGTTTTTTCAAACTCATGTGGCTGGGTTGACCGCGCCGACTTCTCCCCCCTTGCCCCGCCCCCCTTCAGGCAAGGCCCTGGCCACCAAAATCGCGCTCGTCGCTCCGGGAACGGGCAGCAGCCGCAAATCGAGAGCGAGCGGCGGCGGCGGCTAGCACCAACCATGTCAGTGCAGAGGGGCTGGCTGCGTGGGGGGCCCCCGCCACCGGACTCACGTCGGGCTCGCGTCTCGCTGCCCGCTGAGGGGAGCGCAGTGTGTGTGTCTATGTCTGTGTCTGTGTCTGTGTCCCTGTCGTGTCGTGTGTGTGTCGTGTGTGGCTCTCGCAACGTCAGGGGTCGTCAGGATTTCTCTAGGACCCCTGCACGGAAACGAAAACGGGTCTCGCTACCAGGACGGCCCCGGCCGACCGCCCCGGGCCCAGGGCCGGTGTCGGCGGTCCCGCCACGCCCGGGCAGCTCGTTCCGTTGACGACTTGACGTTGACTGCCAATAATCAGCGACGTGCGTCCCCCTCGCACATGCAAATGCACACATCGCGACATGAGCAACCGAGCGACTTGCGGCCGTCGCTGCGGGCGCTCGGGCCGGACGGGGCCTTCCGGGCGGGCCTGCGCAGCGCCTTCAACCTCGATCCCTCTGACGTCGCCCCGTTGAGGCTGTCGGCAATCGGCGAGATCGAGCCGGACTTCATGGACGGCCGAGCAATATTTCTTCACTACTATTATTAAGTGATGCTTTTTGCACGGCTGAGCCCCCCCCCCCCCCCCCCCTCCCCTGCGCTCATTCCCTGCCCTCTCCCACCACACACTCCGTCAGAGCCCCCTCCCCTCTTGCACAACAGGAATTTTGACAATTAACCAGTGGGGAAAGGCACGACTCACAATGAACGATGGGCTTGCCCATCCCGGAGTGGTTCGATCCCACACAAACCCGAGACGGTGACAGGATGCTGGCTGATGGTCTCAGGCCCAGTGAGGTAGTGCATCAGACTATCCCGGATCCTGCTGAACAAGCTCCTCTTGTAGCTCGATCGGTCACACCGCCATCGCCGTCGGGGAGAGGGGGGACGACACTGCTCCTGCAGCGTGCACCTCGATCCCGTACCGTGTTTGTTATGACCCCCCCCAATGAACACACCAGTGAGGGAGGGCGAGACGATCGAGGGGTCCCGTACCATGCGGAATCGACCCTATCCAGTGCTCAAGTGCTCAAACCCAGACGAGGGATGGGGGAGGAGGACAGGGTCCCCACCTGCACGAGCAGGATTTTGGAAGGACGATCAGGGGGACAGGTGGGGCTCTCCTGCTCCTGACAAGGGACACGACAGGCTCGCAGCGCGGTGTACGGTGCGGTGGGCTCCCAACTCCACTGGCGGTCTCATCTCAGTCTAGTGACCTGCCTCCAGCTTCCCGCTGGCAGTCTCTCACTACCACAGGCACACTGACACAGGGGTGGCAGGGGCGGCGGCAGGAGTCACCCACACCTGCTGTGATTATTAAAACGGTGAAATTCTTTTTCATTGCAGTGCAAGAGGGCCGGTTCCCCGATGTACGTGCACTTGCTCTCGGCCCTCTCGATCCTCAACGCGACGGCCGCCGTCAAGCCGCCGTCGGGCGCGCTCTCAGAGGTCAGCCACGCCGCCGGTGGCCCGAGCAGCTTCTGCGACACTCAGGTCCAGCAGTACTCGGGCTACTTCAATCTCTCCACGGGTGACAAGCACCTCTTCTACTGGTTCTTCTCGTCGCGGTCGTCGCCCGACACTGATCCCGTCGTGCTCTGGCTCACTGGCGGGCCCGGCTGCAGCAGCGAGGTGGCTCTCTTTGGAGAGAATGGCCCCTGCAAGGTGTCTCCGGATGGGATGACCACCATCCCCAACGCAGCCTCGTGGAACACGCACGCCAACTTGCTGTACGTGGATCAGCCAGTCGGGACCGGCTTCTCCTATGGCACCGCCTTTGACCACGACGAGGTCGGGGTGGGAAACGATATGTACGCCTTCCTGCAAGCCTTCTTCGGCGCGCACCCGGCCCTGCGTTCCAACGCTTTCTTTGTGTTCGGCGAGTCGTATGCCGGCCATTACGTGCCCAACGTGGCGCACCGTGTTTGGGTCGGCAATGGCGCGGGTGGGGCGCCACACATCAACCTGGTCGGCATGTCAGTCGGCAATGGCCTGACCGACCCCGAGGTGCAGTACGCATACTATCCGGCCATGGCCGTGTCCACCAACCAGCACCAGCCTGCGGTGAGCAACGCAACATACGAGAAGATGGCAAAGGCGGTTCCGGGCTGCATCAAGGCGATCCGCCGGTGCAACGGTGGCGAGGGGGTCGTCTCGAAGCTCGCGTGCGTCGCGGCATATGAGACGTGCAATGCGGCGTTGACGGCGCCCTATCAGCTCACGGGCATGAATCCGTGAGCGGATGCCCGCATTGGTGGTCAGGCACGTCGTTCCTCTCGCGACCCGTGTCTGCTCCGCCGCACCCGCAGGTACGACATGCGGATCAAGTGCGCAAAACCTCCGCTGTGCTACGATTTTTCAGGCGTTGGAAAGTTCTTGGATCGACCAGAGGTGCGGACGGCGCTCCACATCCGAACGGGCACTGGCACGTGGCAGAGCTGCAATTTCAAGGTGCGCCATATCCCTTGCAAGATCCCTAGCACGCGGGCACCCGCCCCCATCCATGCGCACAGACTCGCACCCCCTCACCCCCAGGTGAACAAAATGTTTATGGGCGACTGGATGAAGAACTATCAAACGCAAATCCCCGCTTTGCTCGGCGCGGGCATCCGGGTACTCATCTACGCGGGCGACCAGGACTTCATCTGCAATGTGCGCCCGCGTAGAGTCACCCGTGTGGAGTGCACGCCGTGCGCCCGTCCGGAGAGGTACGCCCGCTGCTGAGGTTGTCCCCCTCACCCCCCGTTCCCCCTTCCAGTGGCTTGGCAACCAGGCGTGGGTGCGCGGCATGGATTGGCCCGGCAAGGCCGCCTTCGACGCAGCGCCGGTCAAACCGTGGTCCGCCGAGGGAAAGCAGGCTGGCGAGGCGCAGGCGGCCGAGGGCCTGACCTTCCTGCGCGTCTTCGGCGCCGGCCACATGGTTCCGCTCGACCAGCCCATGGCCAGCCTCCTAATGCTCGACGCCTTTCTCAAGGGCGAGCTCTGAGTCGGGGAGCAAGGGAATGGCCCCGCTAGCCATCAAAGGTAGCGGTGCACGCGGCTCCGCGCGCAGCTCAATCTTACACGTACACGGCATACGGTGGTTTGTGTGGGCGTGTGCTCTTGTTTTGGTGGTTGTTTGAATGTGTGTGTCAGAGTGTGTGTGTATAAGAGCGGTGTGTCGTGTGTGTGTGCATGCGTCTATCGTGTCAGTGTGCGCGTGTGTGGCGTGAGGTGTGTGCTCTCCTATCACTCCTGTGTGCTCTCTCGAGTCTCGTCTCTGCTCTCTCTCTGCCTGACCCTGAGTTGCAATGAGTCACTTCTGAGAGCGATCTCTTCTCTCTACACGGCTTTTTATATTATGATATATGTGCGCGTGTGTTGGCTGTAGACTGTAGTTGCACTTGCAGCCGTCTGTCGAGACTGTCGTCTGTGCGTGTGGGGTGGTGACTGCCGAGTCTGACTGGTGTGTGCGCAGTGCGGTGCGTGTCCCGAGATTGATCGTTGTCCCGGCGAGCGAAAAGCTCGCTCGCGCAGCAATAGACAAGCCCCCCGCGCGCGCCAAAACACAACATGTTAGTGCACGCGACCATTGGGCGGTGTGTGGACTACAGTCCAACCCTCCGCCCAGCTCTTGAGCCTCGACTCTCAGCACACACCAAAAAACCACGTCTCAACATCAAGAGCGGCGCACGACACGATATGCTCCGGGCGAGCAGCGCCTTAGTGGAGCGACCGCCGGTGCGCCGCCCCGCCCCCACTTTGCTTTGCCGCCGTGGGCCCGGCGCCCTCGCCCCTCCCCACGTGCGTATCCCACTCCGAGTCGGACCCCGAGTGCGAGTCGGTCCCGTGGCTGTGGCCGTCGCGGCGGTGGTGGAGGGAGATGCCTCTCAGCTGCTCGGCGCCGCCCTGAGCCTCGCCCTCGGGCTGCGTCTCAGCGACGCAAGTCGCAACGTAGGCGAAGGCGCCAACCGACAGGATTGCGAAGGCAGCCATCGCCCCCTGCGGTGTCAGCGCCTGCATCACGCGCTCAACCTCCTGGCACGCCACGAAGTTGAGCGTCCAGAAGACGATGAGGATGGCGCCCATGCCGCTCGCGCGCAGAGAGTCGGGCAGCAGCTCCGCCGAGACGGTCCACACCAGCCTATACTCGACCGCCGGCGCGTGAGGAGGCCGAGCCGGAGAGGCGCGGCTGAGCCGCCGGCACGCCCACCCTGCCCACGAGCCCGCCCAGCAAAAGAAGAGGGCGATGAGGCCGGCGGCGAGCAGGCTGGGCTCGTTGCGCGCGTACGCGAGCGCCATCAGCAGGTAGCAGCCCGCGATGCCCGCCGCGCCCGCGAGCAGGAGCGGTCTCCGGCCGACCCGGTCGACGAGCAGCACGCAGACGCAGACGCCGGCGAGCCGCGCCAGGCCGGCGAGGAGCGCGCAGAAGAAGGGGTCGCTCGCGCCGGCGCGCACCATGATGTCGGTCGTATAATTCTGCAGCGGCTGCACCATGATGGCCGTGTTGCCGACCGCGAGTCCCGCCGCAGCGAGCAGCGGCCGTCGCGCAGACGGGTCCGCGAGCACCGCGCGCAGCGTCACCTTGTCGGCTACTGTCTCGCCGTGGTCCCAGATGCGGGTCGGGACCGAGGGGAGCGACTGGATCGCCACCTCGGAGCGGCCGCTCGCGCAGCGGCTCGGCGAGGGCGGCGGCCGCGGCGAGCCGATCTGCCGGGCCGCTCTCGGCGAGGCGGCGGCCACGGCGGGCGGAGAGGGCGCAAAGGAGGGAGCGGTGGCGCGGGGCGTGGAGGCGGCGCGGGCGGACCGCGCCCGCTCGGCGTCGGAGCGGAGCCACACGGGCGACTCCGGCACCGCCGCTGCGACGAGCAGCAGCAGGAGGGCGGGCGGGCCGGCGAGGCCGAGCATGCGCCTCCACCCCTCTGGGTCGTGCGAGAGAGAGTAGTCGACGAACAGGGCGAGCAGGCAGCCGGCGGTGAGCAGGAACTCGTTGGCGGTGGTGAGCGTGCCACGCAGGGCAGGGGGCGACACCTAGGATCGGGGCGCAGCCGACGCGTGAGCGGATCAGAGGCGAGCCCGGCTATGTGCAGGCGAGCGCGCCTCGGAGAGGTAGATTGGGCTGAGGACGCCGGACAGCCCGGTGCCCACGCCGGCCACGAAGCGGCCGAGGAGGAGGACGTAGAAGCCGGGAGTCATCATCATCAGTGCCGCGCCCAGGGCAAACGCAAAGCTGGCGAGCGCGAGGCCGTAGCGGCGGCCGTGCGAGTCAGCGACAGCGCCGCCCAGCGGCCCGCCGAGCATGGCTCCGATGACGTTGACCGACACGACCGCCGCCTTCTCGTCCAACGAGAGCCTGAACGCTTCCGTGATTTGCGGCACCGCGCCAGAGACGACACAGAGAGTATACCCGTTGACGGCCGCGCCCGCCATCGCTGCGGAGCAGCCGAGGATGCGGCCGCCTCGCGTGGGCTCGTGGCTGTCCGCCATGCTCTCCTTGTATGCGAGATACTCTTGGGTGGTGGAGGGGTAGGACATGCACAGTGGTGACCACAGGTGAGCGTCGCAACACAGATACTCCTGGTAGGAGGCGGCCGTCGGGTCGCAAAATGGGTTGAAAAGTAATGAGGTCGATTCACAGCACAAGCTCACTTAAAATCCCTGTGTGGTGGCGGCGTGCCGTCCTCCCATCCCTCCCTTGGCTTGTCTGTTTTCTTTCTTTTCTGCCTGGCGGCTTCAGCATGTGCAGCGAAAAGCAGGCGTGCGGCAAGCGAAGCTTTTTCCAGACGGATTCCCCCCCTGTGAAAAAATCTAGGCGTGGTCTCTACTCGCTCGCCAGGAAAAGGAGGACAGAAATCACGGCTGAAAAGAAAACATTTTTGTCCGGCGCGGGCGCGCTGGGTCCCTTACACAGAGGGGTGACACTGCTGGCGGTGATGGCTGGCTTCGACAAGCAGGGACGCGGCCACGCGTTGCTCGCGGACGGAGCCTTCGCTCGGACTCCACTCTCCAGTGGTGCCAAGGACCGCAAAGAGTCGGTCCTGATGCCGTGGAACTTGCTGTCCGACGCGTGCCCAAAGGGGGTCGTCTTGCACGGCCGAGAGGCGAGTGCCTCCTGAGTGCCTCTCGACGGACAGAGCCCCCCCCCCCCGCCTTAGTGCTTAGATCGGGCCGTTTTTGCTCGGTAGGTGTGCGAGAAAGCGTCCAAGGACATCGATGACGCCGCGAGCAAGCAGTTGGCCAAGGAGCAAGGTGGCAAAGGGCAAGGGCAAGAGGACGCGCAATCAGCGCGACACGTAGGAACGGATCGCCGAGCGCGTCCGTGTCTTGTCGCCCCCCCGGCGGGCCCCTGTCTTGTCGCGCCTTGGCCTGTAGGTGTAGCTGTTTCCGGAAACCAAAAAGGAAACGAGAGGGTCTCCAGCACTTTTCGTTTCCGGAAATTTCCAGGGAAACCAGAGGTGTTTGGTGCTCCATTCTGGCAACTCTCGAGTTTCCCTGAGTCCGAGAGCTGGTCTGGGGACTGGGGCAAAATCTGAGGCGAAACCGAGGAAAACCGGCAAAATACCAGGTATTTTCCAGGTACACAGGTAGATAAAAGGAGAAATCATTATCTTGATATTGGGGTGTCACGTGTCATGACTCGAGATTAGCACTCCCCAAAGTGTTAAGACCCGGCAACGTGGGCGTGACGAAACAGAGCAGATTCGACGTACGACGAGATGTCGGCTCCAGCGAAGATTGGGGCGACCACAAACCAATATAAATAAATGAAAACGGACATCTCTCTACGGTGAGATGGGTATAAAGGAACAGGTCCCCGCCCGTGCGATCTTTGTGCAGGGTTCTTTGTGGGTGTAGTCGGCGACTAGCCGGGGTCGTCCTCCCGATGGGGGACTAGCACTAGCCGTCTTCCACATGGTCCCTCGGGTCCCTGCTGCTCCTAATCTCTGCGTACATCCTCCTGCTGATCTCCGCAAAGTCCTGCTCCCTCCCTCTCGTCTCGCCCTGCGCGTCTGCTCCAACTCTCCCCCGTCGTCTGCCCTGCGTCGTCTGGCGGCGGGTCCTCCATAGTCGGTTGAGGGAGGTCGCCGCCACCTGCACCTCCTCGTGCCACTTCTCGCGTCGTGCCTCTTTCCAACGTTCCCTCGGCGGCCGATGCCGTGTCCGCTCCGACTCCGCCCCGTACCCGGGTCTGCCCTGCTCTTGTCTGCGCTACTTTCTGTTAAACAAGACCACAAACCAAAGCTCTTCCTTTTCGTCTCTTGTGTCGATGTCGAGCACACCCCCCAGACGCTTAGTACACGCTCTTCTGCTCGAGCAGCTGTCTGCGACAACCTACCACTTCTACTATCTCTAGACAGACTGATCTAGACAGTCAGAATATGCGCCCCGCTCCCGCGCGGCGCGCCTGCCGCGGCGCGCTCATACCCCGCGTCCACGGAGCGCGGCGACATGTCATCCTCAACTTCCTAGTCGCCGCTCCGCGGCCGCAGCGCGCCTCTCGCGCTCTAGGCGCGCATTTGCGGCAGAGTCATCGCAACGCTCTGCCGGAGGTCCGCTTTCTGATCTTGACGCATATCGCCACTCCTCGCAGAGCGACGCGGACAGTGCTAGAGCCATGGCCAGCGAGTCGGCTGACTCAGTATTGGTGGTGGAGTTGGAGCCCTCGCCACCCTCGGCAGTGGGTGTCGCGTCGAGGAGGCTCGCTGCGATAGCGGCCGCCAGGTCTGCGTCCTCCTCCTCTGCTCCAGGCGGTGGAAGCGGCGGCGGCGAATCCATTGCGGCGGGCGCCGAGGCTGTAGCCTCGATCCGGATGGCGTGCTGCTGCTCGCGCTCCCCTGTCGCAGTGTAGGAGCACAGCAGTCGCCCTTCGCCCGCTTCACCCTCTATCGCCACCCACACATCGCCAGGGAAGGTGACCTGCTCGTGCACAACAGTCTTTGCGCCACTCTGGTCGACGGTGGCATAGACGGTGTCCGTGGCAGAGCTGCCTATGTACCGTCGCCACGCCAGCCGAGCCTTGCGGTCGACGTCCCGGTCGAATGGAAAGGTGAACGAGACCAGTACGCCAGTCCCGGTGATCGGTGGGAGCGTCTCCGACATGGTGGTGCGTGATCTTGGGTGGGCTGGATGCCAACAAAGCGGCGGGGTCAAAGAAAGAAAGAAAACAGACAACGCAAGGGAGGGATGGGAGGTCGGCACGCCGCGGGGTCAGTCCGCTGTGGAGAGCGCGCGCAAAATTCTTTTTTCATCTGACGGTGGATGGGCACGCCTATGAGCGGCCGGACGCGTAGCCCCCCTATCCGGGTAGGAGCCGGAACCCATATCGCTTCTCGGCCGCGACCAAAGCCAAGCACTCTCTCCGCGCTCTGCCCCACGCCCACTCCTGCCCTTCTAGAGCGTCACCGCCGCTGCCAATCAGCCCACCATGTCAAGCTTCACTTTCGTCGTCGAGCCCATCGAGGCCAGCAAAACCTACCAAGGCGACAAGCGTCGCCATCGCGAGCCGAGCCGATCGCCCTCGCTGGACGGTGCATGGCGCACCATGATCCCGACCGACAAGGGCATGATCGAATCGATGTCGCCGGCGCCGAACGGGACCGTCGAGGTCTTCACGCGGCAGAACCTGTTCGCTAAGGCCGTGCGCGTTCTTCGGCCACCACGGCCTGCGCCTCTCCCCAGATGTCATTTGGCTCACCATCATGCAGGGCGTGGCCAATCACGTGGATCAGAACGCGGAGGGCCTGCGCGATCGCTTCGTCTCGCACGAGGGCAAGGAGGAGATCGTCATCGAGCGGCCCAGCTTCGTGAAGGGCTCGCCGCACAACGATTGGGAGGGCGTGTTCCCCGAGTTCGCGGAGAAGATCGCGGCGAAGACAAAGGGCGGCGTGGCGGAGCTCGCGCAGTGCGACTTCAGCACGACGACGCCGGTCGAGCGGGTGGTCTCGCAGATCACGCTCATGGATACGGTGCAGCACTACTTTCAGTACACCATGTGCTGCGGCTGCGGCTTCCCCTCCATCACGCTCACCGGCACACCGGCCGACTGGGAGCGTGTTCGCAGCAAAGCTGCTGCGCTGCGCTCGTACGACCTCGACTGGTGGCTCGACGCGTTGCTCCCGGCGCTGGACCACTTCGTGCAGGCCGCCCACGGCCGCCCCGACCTCGACTTTTGGCGCTCGCTCTGCCACATCAACACGGGCACCTCCTTCCCCGTCTACGAGCCCGTCACGGGCTGGCTCCAGGTGTTCTTCCCGTATCTTCTAGCGCCCGGATTTGACGACGGCTTCGGGCGCGGCGGCGGGTTCGACGAGGCCAAGGGCGGCGTGGCCAAGAAGAAGCTGCGCCGCAACGGCGGGCTCGCCAACTACGCGGAGAGCTTCGCCTCCAAGGTCAACGCCGCCAACTTTGGCGCGCAGCGGCGATCCGGATCGAGCTCGCGCGATAGCTGGAACCCGCCCGAGGGGACCGGCGACGGCGTCAAGCTCGAGCTGTTTCCACCAGGCCTCTCGAGCGCGCCGTTCACGTACAAGGACGCCATGACGGGCCTGCAGCACAAGATGGCCTTTTACGGCGGCAGCTCGTGCCTCGTGCAGCACACTGACGGCGACCTCGAGCCCAAGGTGGGCTGGGCCGTCCTCGACAGCGGTGTGCTTGTTGGAGGGCCGCAGCCCAAGCAGCCGCTGGCCGAGGCGCAGCCGCCGAATGCCACGAATGTTGCTGGGGGTGCCTGAGCTGGTCGAGCAGCTGCTGATGAGCGCTGGCTGGCTCACGAGCGAGCCACGACCAAGTCGGCGAGCCGATGAATGACGGGCGAGGCGCTCGAGCGCACTTGCCTCGCCAATCATCACATGTCTTCGGTCCCCGCGCATGCATGCACATGTTGTACTTTGAAGCTGCCGAGCCCAAATCACTGGTCGTGATTTCTGGGTTCTCAAAAATGCGGCCTAAGACTTCTTTTCTTGACCGCGTTGGAAAATTCTTTTCTTCGACTTCGTGCCACACACTTCTTCGCGTCGTAGAGGTGCTTGCTGCTGTGCCGCGTCGCTCGTCCGCCTTTCTCGAGACTCGGCCTCCTCGTACACAGGTCACAGCACACAAGGTCGTCCCACAGGTCGTCCCAACAGGTCGTCCCACAAGACCAAGAGGACGCATCCAAACCGCCGCATTTCGACCGCCGAAAAGTCTCCCACTCGCGCCCTCCCCAAACCGAGTCCTCTCTACAGTTACATACATACCTGGGGGTTTCCAGGTATACCCCGCAAAAATACCCGAAGAGTTGGCTTATTTTGGGCCCAAACCAGACAAACGTCTCGCGCGCGCGTGAACAGGGCTCCAGGCCCCAAATGACGTGTGAGTGTTAGAGTTGTTTGGTATTGCTAAAAATCTCTCTCTCAAACGACACGCTTGATCTGTTGCATGTTGTACGTGTGGTGTACTTATAGACGTGTTGTTATTACCGCAGTACTCTCAGTAGTTCTTCCAAAGAATTTTACAACAAAAGAAAACGCCAACGCATCGTTTGGTCGCCTCCGTGGGCACGAGTCTGGGCAGGGCACGGCTTGACCCGCCAGCAGCCGAGCACGGCCGCACAGCAATGTCGCGCCCCGTCTCCGACGCGCGTCTCCCGCACCGCGTGGACGACTGGGCCGCGGCGCACGGCGGCCGCGCGACCGAGAACGACGCCGACGCGGTCGTCGCGTGGCTGCGCTCGCAGCGCGGGCTCGAGTACGCCCGCAAGCCTGCCGAGGGGCTGCGGAAGCAGGTGCTGCGCGTCATCCAGCACAAGGCGGCGGGCGCGGGCGCGGCGCCGGTGCAGCTGGGCGGCGCCGGCTCGGGCGCCATCGACCCGCCGGCGTGGGCCATCGACGCGACGCCCGAGCCGGCAGCTGGCGCCAAGCGCGCCGCCCGGCCGTCCGCGGACCGCCGCTCAGCCGCCAAGGCGGCGCGCGTGTCGGAGCCCGACCCGGCGCCGGCGGCGCCGCGCGACTTCAACCTCCTCAACGCCTCTGTCGCCGCCTCTTATCGGCCCGAGCCAGCGGCATCGCCGGCCGCCGCGCCGCCGGCCGCCGCGCCGCCGCCCGCCGCGCCGCCCGCCGCGCCGCCCGCCGCCGAGGGCTCCTCCTCGGCCGCGGCGCCCGCCGCGGCCGACTCGCCGGGGCCTGCGGCCGCAGCACCCGCCGCGGCTGCGCCGCCTGGAAAGAAGCGAGCGGCGCGGCGCGAGCGGCGGGGAGGTGGCGGTGGAGCCGCCGGCGGCGGCGGCGGCGGCGGCAGCGAGACGCCGTCGGTCGGGTACGCGGACTTGGGCGGGATGGAGGGGCCGCTGCAGGCGGTGCGGGAGCTGGTCGAGTACCCGCTCACCCACCCGGAGATCTTTGCCCACCTCGGCGTCGCGCCACCGCGCGGGCTGCTGCTGCACGGCCCGCCCCGGCCGCGGCACGACGCTGCGGTCTGCGGAGACCCCGGAGCCTCCTCGGAGCCTCCCTGTAGGTCCGCCCGGCTGCGGCAAGACGCTGCTCGCGTGCGCCATCGCCGGCGAGCTCGGCGTCGGCTTTGTGCGCGTCTCGGCGCCCGAGGTGGTGTCGGGCATGTCGGGGGAGAGTGAGGCGAAGATCCGGCAGCTCTTCCGCGAGGCGCGCGAGGCGGCGCCCGCCCTCCTCTTCATCGACGAGATCGACGCCATCGCGCCGAAGCGCGAGGCGGCGCAGCGCGAGATGGAGAAGCGGATCGTCGCGCAGATGCTCACTTGCATGGATGAGCTCGCCGCGGCCGGCGGCTCGCAGTTCGACTCCGCCGACCAGGCCGCATCGAGCGCCGCCGCGGACGCCTCCGCCGCCGCCGCGCCCCTCGCGCCGCCGCCGCCGCCGCCGACGGTGATCGTCATCGGAGCCACCAACCGACCCGACTCGCTCGACCCGGCCTTGCGCCGCGCGGGCCGTTTCGACCGCGAGATCGCGCTGGGCATCCCCGACGCGGCGGCGCGCGGCCGCATCCTCAAGGTGATGGCGCGCAACATGCGCCTCGCGCCCGACGTGGACGTCGAGTCGCTCGGCCGCCGCTGCAACGGCTTCGTCGGCGCCGACCTCGCCGCGCTCTGCAAGGAGGCGGCCGTCGTCGCAGTCAACCGCATCTTCGGCTCGCTCCTCGCCGCCGCCCCGCCCGGCGGCGCGGCGGGCGGCGCGGCGACGAGCGAGGAGGGGAGCGGTGGTGACGGCCATCTAGGCCGCCGACTCGTGAGACTTTCGAGAATGTCCGCCCGACACTTAATGA